CCAGATGACAACTTACTGGCATGGAGATAATTTTGCCTTAAATGAATGACTTACGTATGTCTACATGTTTCAAAATACCTTATCTTTTGAAACTTAATGTGTTAGCTCTTGTTTAAAACACCTAGACGATCTTTGCAAATTGTGAACTTTAGATTAATGAAGTCTAAAGATTCCATCCATATCTAACAACAAGTCTGTCATATCTTTATAGCTGCTGAACTCTTTGCGAGATCCAACTGCGACGGAGAGAAAGCAAGGCAAAAAGAGGGCGGTACTTGTCTTACAGGGGCATGCACTGTAGTACAGGGTCAACTACTGATCAACCCTCAATCAGGCGGTAGGTGCTTGGCCTTATCAGGTCCTTCCTCACTCTTAAGTGTTCCAGTTGGGTGGGTTGAGTTAGGCGAGGACACCGCCAGCTCGACCGTGTGGTGCGCACGCACGTGCGTACGTGCGTGAGTGCGTCCGTGCGCTCATGTCAACCAGGTGATAGTTTTTTGCAAATTATTCATCTACCAATCGCGCCGGATTGGATTACGCTAATTCCATTCGAGAGCATTTATTTGGTTGTTCAGACGCCACTTTCTGTCGAAAGTTATAAACTTAATTTTGCCATCCGGTTCTCAGACGATTGAAGGTAGTCTTGCCAAAAAAAGGGGTATAGCTTTCGGAAGTTATTGTTATTCGACACTCGCAATCTTATCAGATTTATTGGTAGAAGGAGACATGAGTGAAGCATTACATGGGAATAAACGTCAGAGTCATTAAATGCTTGTGTGCTAATGGTCTGATTAGCATTTTCGTGCTTCGAAGGCATTCTAATAATACTTTCTCAAGAAGAGAAGTGCGTTTAGCTGTTGAAGTGGTTTAAGGCCTAGAAGCACTTTAAAAGCCGCATTTGCGCATGTGAAGAGAGCATGACACAGACACTTTAGTGAGTGTTCCACATGATACCACCACAATGGTTTGGCTGATGACAATTTGATCAGTTAAAGAAGATCGTTGATTCGAGGAGTAACCAGTAAATGCCATCCCAGACTACGTCCATTCATTGTTGCAGCTTTGTTGTAGACCTTTGGTGCTCCTCCAAATCAATTTCTAGGTGGCTTAGGCTTTCACAATGTGATCGAAGTCCGTAAAATTGCCCGTGAATTTACTTCCTTAATTTGAAGTACGGAGCAACTTAGTAAATACAATAATAGAATGTGCAAAACCCATGAATGGTAAAAAATAGCCTATTTTGTGGTATGTCCATTCGTAGTAAACAACTTTTACTTTACGCTTTCAAGATCATTTCATTTCACAGCCAGTGTCAACTTTTTATTAGAAATTCCATCTGGAACAACAAGGTACCGCGCAATTTTGATGACTGCGAAAGAGAGTAACTGCCGTGGCACACAGTGAAGCTAAAATGTTTCACAGACAAGTGAAGGCATCAAATGCCATCAAACAAGACTTGTTTTGAGGCTGCCCTGCGGGTGCTTTGCGGATGCGTAAATCGTGAATAGGCTGCAGTATCAAGACTGGTATCCCATGTTGAAATTCTCAATCAAAAGGCCATCACAAAATTTTCCAGTAGCTTAAACGAGGCTCCCGGTATCAGATTGCATGACACAAATAAACTCATTTGCCTCTACAGAACTTTCAACGCTTAAATACCTTTTTTGGGTCGGAAAACTTGGACACGAAGGCCCAATTTGAAAAGATGTCAGGATAGGGAGCAAGGAAGGAATAATTTTTTGGATAGAACTGTATTTTGTTCTCAACGTCTTCTAGGCTTCTTTTTAGTTTTCTGAACACAATGGAAAAATTTCACAATGATGAAGTATTAATTGGCTATTTTAATGGTGCTTTAGCTTGCTTTCATGGAAACGTTTTGCTATCAGGACAAATGATGTACAAAAGCTCAGAATAAACAGGCACTGCTGGGGAGGGGGATCAGAAGGGACAAAGGACCCTAAATTGCTTAGCAAACTCGATTAATTTATATATATATATATATATATATATATATATATATATA